CGAGGACGAGCTAATAAGTTTGAAGCCCTTAACTGGGCTGAGTTCAAGCTCAAGGCTGAGACCGAGCTAATAAATTTGAAGCCCTTAACTGGGCTGAGTTGAAGCTCAAGGCTGAGGCCGAGCTAATAAATTTGAAGCCCTTAACTGGGCTGAGTTGAAGCTCAAGGCTACGGCCGAGCTTTAATCTTAAAGCCCTTCAATGGGCTGAGTTGGAGCTCAAGGCTGAGGCCGGGTGATTAAACTTGAAGCCCTTCGTTGGGTTGAGCTCAAGGCCGAGGCCGAGCTAATAAATTTGAAGCCCTTAACTGGGCTGAGTTGAAGCTCAAGGCTGAGGATGAGCTTTAATCTTGAAGCCCGTCAATGGGTTGAGTTGGAGCTCAAGGTCGAGGCCGAGCTATTAAACTTGAAGCCCTTCACTGGGCTGAGCTCAAGGCCGAGGCCGAGCTAATAAATTTGAAGCCCTTAATTGGGTTGAGTTGAAGTTCAAGGCTGAGACCGAGCTTTAATCTTGAAGCCCTTCAATGGGCTGAGTTGGAACTCAAGGCTGAGGCCGAGCTATTAAACTTGAAGCCCTTCATTGGGCTGAGCTCAAGGCCGAGGCCGAGCTAATAAATTTGAAGCCCTTAACTGGGCTGATTTGAAGCTCAAGGCTGAGGCCGAGCTATTAAACTTGAAGCTCTTCACTAGGCTGAGCTCAAGGCTAAGGCCGAGCTATTAAACTTGAATCCTTCACTGGGCTGAGCTCAAGCCCAAGGCCGAGCTATAAAATTTGAAGTGCGACGACGAGAATCTCTGTCAAATCGTCATCTGCTTGGATCTAGAGCTCCATTCTAGAGTCTCTCGGAGAATCAAAAGCCCTTTTTGCGGTAGAGTTTGTCTCCTTATATATATGTGGTTTCAACAATTTCAGGGTGTGCGCGTTAGCCTGCAATCTGTGGCTTTGTGTTATACGGCACGCGTGTTCACCATGGATGGGAGTCGAAATTTGTCGTTCCCCACAGACGGCGCCAATGTTCGGTCCTGGAAAGACCGTATTGATATACCGTATGGTATGCGCTCAGAGATACCGTAGAAGTAGGTATGTGTTTGACCTATAGCCAATATCCCAATCACTGCACACAAGCAATAGGCTTATAGCCAAGACGTGGGGGTGTGCACAGTGTTGGTCGTAATAGTAAATAGGTTAAAAGTGTGTACATGTGGTCTTTAGCCTCTTATTTATAAGGGTTACCTCTAGAATTTGTGTAGATCTCCCAGTTGTAGTAGGATCCAACTTCTTTTCTGTTGAGATAGAGACTCTATCCTTAGCAGCCTTACTGTTTTATATTGCTAGGATAATTGGGTAATTATCCTTTAAGGGATCCTTGGGTAGGTGGTTAGGATATGGAAATATTCCATAACAGGGTGGTTCTGGGAGAGGAAGAGAAAGAAAAAATTTGAGAAGGAAAAACACAAAAAAATAATTTCAAAGGAGTGGGTTGTTATCGGCTCTATGAGAGCTATGGAGTTCTGAGGATATGTGGTCATCAAGGTCTTTTGATTTTTCTGGTTTGGGGTGTATATTTGAGATTCTCAAATTAGAAAAAATCAATGGGGCTTGATAATTAGGATTGTGTAAAATAATCAAAAAAATTGAATCGAACTATGAACCAAATCGAATGGCCCTTAAAATAATCGATTTTTAAAAATTAGTTCATGAACCGAATCGATTTTTAGAATCAGTTTAAGAACCGAACCATTTTGAACTGAACCGTTTTCAAATCAAATCAAATTGATTTTTATAATTTTTTTTTTAATTTTTTTTCTTTTTAAAATAGGATCGATCCGAACTGATTCTGAACCGAGTTGTACCATTTCCGAACCGAACCAGTTTTGAACCGAATCGAACTATTTTCGAACTGAACCATTTAAAGCAATAGATTTTTCATAAAATTCGGTTCAGTTCGGTTCGGTTTGATCCATACACGTCTGTATTGATAACCACGTTGAAATTGAGACGCAATTGAAGGGTATGAAATGGAAGAAGGAGAAGGGAACGAACATTATTGGACATGGCAAAGTTCAATTTCAACAAAAAGAATAATGATTTTTGTTAAGTGTCTGGCGCAAAGTTCATCGTATGCAACTGGGGTAATCTGTCTGGAAATTGAAATTTCAAATCTATGTAATTTTTATTTTTTTGGTAATTTCAAATCTCTGTGATTTATAAAACCTAGAATGTGGTTTGAAGGTGTGGGATATTATTTTATTTATTCATTTTTTGATTTAATGTTTCCAAGTTGTCTTTTTTTTTTTTTAGTACACTTTTCCAAGTTGTCTTGGTTGTGTTAAAACTGTGTAAATTATTTCTACTAAATATTTTAGAAATTTATTATATTAAGTGCACTAAAGATCCTTACTATCTAACTCTAAGGTAGTTTTGTTTTGAGGATATTTTAAAGAAGAAGGTTATATTGATAAAAAAAAATTTTATATAAATTTACGAATTATACTTTACCTTATAAATATTTTAAGGTAATTTATTTACAACAATAACAATTGTCAAATCGAAACACGAAAAGGAGCAAAGGAAAAAGGAAAAGGTGTTATCAGTTATCACAATCCCAATTCTCTTTCAACTCGACAAGCAAAGCAAAGAAGAGAGAGATTGAACCGAACTCACTTCTTAGTTTTACAATTTACAAACACTACCCATGACCAAGAAAAAATCCTAACTTCTTAGTTTATTACTTCCTTATTTATTTTTTTAAAGAAAAAATTTAGATAGAATTGAAGGGGAAGGGAAGAGAGGAGGGAGATGAAGGAAGACAAGGAAATTGAAGGGTATTTCCTTTCTTTGTTTGAGAGTTAAAAAAATGGTAAAGGAGAAAAATATGAGTTAATGAGATATTTTTACCATTTTTATGGAAATATTTTTTATCAAAAAAGTTAATGGAAATATTTTTCGTTAAAAGTTTTTTATGGAAATGTGTTTTGTTAAAAAATTTGACGGAAATTTTTTTGTCAAAAAGTTAACAAAAATGTTTTCGTCGAATTTTTTTGACGGAATTTAAATTCTGTAAATAATTTTGATGAAATTTGTTTCCGTAAAAAATTTTCGATGAAAATGTGTTGCGCTGAAAATTTTGAAGAAAATATTTTTCGTCAAAATTTTTGAAGAATACGTTTTTTTGTGAAATATTTTGAGGAAAATGTTTTGACGAAATTTAGATTCCGTAAAGCTTTTTGACAAAAAAAATTTCGTCAAATTTTTTTACAGAAATGTTTTTAGTCACAAATTTCGATGGAAATATTTTTCGTAAAAAATTTTAATGTAATTGTTTTACGTTGAAATTTTTCTATGGAAATGTGTTTCGTCAAAATTTTGGACGAAAATATTTTCGTTGAAAGTTTTGAAGGAATTTAGATTCTATCAATAATTTTGACTTAATTTTTTTCGTAAAAATTTATGTCAGTAATTATGGCAAGATCTGGTTCCATCTCTAATTTCGTCTTTAGTTTTGACGGAAATTTTTTGACGTATATGAATTTCATAAAAAAAAATTGACTTATGTCAATATTCGAGAATTTTTTATATTTAAAAATGATTCACATTTATCTAGTTTTCACATTTTAATGTTAAGGGTAGATAAATAATTTTTAATATTTTTCCCTCTCAAATTTCCAAATTGGGAAAATTTTAATTTTAAGAAAAATGAAAGTTTTTGAGAGTTTAGTAAAAATTCCCAATATCTTTCTCTTATTTTTTTAAACTCACAAAACAAAAAAAGGACTTACTAAAATCCTCAATTTCTTTTATTTTTCCTCCTAAAACTAACTCCCAAACAAAACCTAAAAAAAGCATAAGTTAAAGTTTAAGCAACTGCGCTCACCGTGATTGACTACGTCCCCTTACAAAGGATACTAATCTACACAAATGTTAATACAGAATGGAACTCAATCCATCTAGAAGGTACTCAAGCATATGTATCATAAAGCTACATCTCAATCTATTCTCTAAATTCACTTCAACCGCAAAATCGCCTCTCCTACCCTGCATTTTTTTTAATAAGAAGTGGGAAATATTATTTATACCAAGATTAAAAAAAAATTAAAAATATTTCATGATCGAAGCTACACCTCAATTTATGTAAGCCTTCTCTAAATTCACTTTAACAGCAAAATCGCCTCCCCTCTCCTTCACTTTTTGTAATACCAAGTGGGAAATATCATTTATACCAAGATTAAAAATATTTCGTGATTAAGTTAAAAGACCTGTTTTGGTCACGATAGATAAGACATGCTATAATATCCTGCTCTTATTTAGTTTATCTCGATGATTCATTTTATTCTAGCAGGATAAGCTATCGTAAGGGGACTCGTTTCAAATACCATATATGATAACATTATCTAAATTATTACACATCAAACACATGAGAAAATATGGGTCGATTAACTTTCAAAGGTAGCTCAGTTGATAACTAAGCTCTCAAGAAATTATATGGTTCAGGGTTCAAAGCATGAATCATGAATACCTCCAAATTTATATCCAAAAATAAAAAAAAAACATATGGGTTTATCATATCCATATCATTTTTTATTTTTATTTAATCGATTTAAAGGGTAAGATATTATAACAACCAATTAAGGTTAGAATTATTATCAATCAATTTCACCGTTAGATCGATTATATTGATTCAACGGTTATATTAAAAAAAATTCATCTTTGTATGATTATGATTCTTCATATTTAATACTTTATATTTATTTTCACTTTTGTATGGTAAAATTGATTGGTAATAATATTGATAGTAACCCTAATTAATTGTTACAATATCTTACCCTTTGAGTTTGAAATAAAAAATTATACTTTTAATTAAAAGGAGAAATATTTTATTCTTTAAACATATATCTCTTTAAAATCTGCCTCTTTGGTCACTCCGAAAAAAAAACCCGAAAAATGTTATCGGGTCATAGGCAGCCTCAACCAAAATCCAAAAATTTAAAATTAAAAACAAAAAAAATGTTCTGACAGTACTCATCACCATTTCGTTTCTATCCCAATTTCCAAAGGCACGGTACAATCTTCTTTTCTGTTCAAATCAAAACCATAATCATTCACCTTTTCCAGTTCCTGCTCCACATATCTCACTTATTCTTCTCCATCCAATAAAACTTTTTTTATTTTTTCATGTTCTGAACCGAGTCAATCATCGACTCGGCGAGTCACGTTTTCGAATCGGTTTTTTCAATCTCAAGCAAAATGGCGACGACAAGGTCCCCGAGCCGTTCCTCCGAGGACATCGTCGATTCGACGCCGTTGCTGGCGAATTCCGGCGGCTCTTCCGGCGAAATTAATTCCGGGCGTCAAGTTGTTAGGAGACAGAGGCTTCGTCAAGCGGCGCGGTTCCTCCGGCAAGCGAGTGGGAGGACGATGCGCGAGCCGTCAATGTTGGTTCGAGAGACTGCGGCAGAGCAATTGGAGGAGAGACAGAGCGATTGGGCTTATTCGAAGCCCATCGTCATCCTCGATATCATTTGGAACTTCGCGTTCGTTGTTGTGGCAGCCACCGTGTTGATTTTGAGTCGAAGTGAAGCACCGGGAATGCCTCTTAGGTTTTGGATTGTGGGGTATGCTATGCAATGCATCCTTCACATGTTCTGTGTTTGCGTCGAGTATCGAAGACGGAGACGGCACCAACGTGCCTCATCCTTGAACGCAGTTGCAGGGCAAGACAGGGTTGGAAGTAGCAGTGGGAATTTGAGTTCCGCTTCAAGGGAGGCTTCTGGTTCTGGTTCTGGTTCTGGTTCTGCGCAGTATGCGTCATTGCCGCAATTAGCTCAGGAGGGTACTAGGTGAATTTCTTCACTTTTTTTGGGTTTAATTCAGGTTTTTATTTGGTGACTGATTTCCACTCCATCTCACTCTTTGGATACTTGTATTGACGGATTAAGGGACTGTCATGTGAACTTTGGAATTCCATGATACATTAACGAAATTTAATTTGTTTGTTCCCACTTCCCGTGTTAATCTTATTCATAAATGATAACACTGGATTAAGGTGATGCATGATGGTTTGTATTAAGGGTTTTAAGGAACCTCAACTTGTTTTCGTATACTTTACAAATAGGTGATGCTTGATACAGAATTACATTAGGACCCCCTGTGATTTAGGGATATGCCATGGAGAATTGTTGGGTAAACTCACACCCGTGAGGTTTAAGTCACTTTAAGGTAAAACAAGCTCTTTTAATTGACTACTGAACTAACATTCAGTAATATTTGAAAGAGCTTATATAGCAAAGCAACTGTAGCTTTCTCATTAGTTGAGGGGCGGGGGGGATAATTCTCCCTGACAGTTCAAAAGATGTTTAAGATTTTTTTATACTTATCAAAATCCTGTTAAATTAAAAGATCTCCAAAGTCTCTGTCAAATTACTTTTAATGATTGAAAAGAATGAGTAACTTGTAAGTTTGATGGTAAAAAGATATGACAGAGATTGTCATATGATAATTAACTGATTTTCTGTTAAAGTAATTATTTTTATTTAAAATCACAAAGCATAGGTGTAAGTGTGTAGGATCATGTACCAAAATAATCCCTTTTGAACCACAAGGGATGTAAGTGACCAAGTGTAATTCAGATTCCAGCCTTGGTTTTCTTAGGCCCCATTTGGCTGTTGGAATTGGACTTGGAATCAGAAAATGGGCCTCTTAATTTAAATTATCTTGTTTAGCATCTGCATTAGATTTAGAATCCCAATTCTAAGTAACAATTTCAAAAACATAAATAATTTAAACGATTCCAAAATCTTAGCTTGGACCACAAAAATTACCATTCCAAGGATTGAGATTTTAGTATATTATAAGCCTAGGATATAATAATTTTAAACTAAAGCTAGGAATTGACAAAATAACCTAATTATAAGCCTCACAAAACAATATTATTAGTGATTAGTCATAATTGAGTCACATAAAGTGATTGCTTGAAACCCATGAGTGTTGGTTGCTGTGGTTAAAAGTGGCTGTTTGAATCTCAAGGTCTAAAGTTCGATCCTTAGAGACGTATCCTTGGGGAGCAAGGTTATCAATTGCATGCAATCCTGCTACGATAGCAGGCTGCAGATGGTGGCCGTTACTGTCTGTGTCGCAACGTAACAAGTAAGAGTTGCGGCTGCTGCGCCCAAATTGCGGCGTGTCGCAGCCAAATCACGCTGCAACGTGGAATTCAAATTTGCCCTCATTTTTTATTTCTAACAGCTATTTTTCATGAGTTTGTTTTGTTCTTTTAATAGGGTTTTAGTATGAAAACCTCAACCCACTCTCTTTTTCTCCCCACTCTCTTGATCATATCTTGACTTCCTCTCGTCTCTGCCTCTCTCTCTCTCGTCTCTCTCATTGCTTAGCAGGTTCTGCTATTGTACCCATTCTGACATTCTCTTGCTTTCTGCTATAAGTTGATGGATGGATGTTGTGGTGCTAAAATTATGAGATCAGGAAGAAAAAGGGGGGAAGAAGACGAATAGCCGAGAGAAGAAAGGGAAAATTGGGAAGGAGAAAAGAGAATTTTGGAATTTTCATCTGTTATCTTTCATCTTGTCCTTGGTCTTTCTCTTGCTGATACTTGGTCTGATAGTCATTTAGAAACAGAGGGATAGGAAACCCATTTCTGTCCTTGTTTTATTTTGGGTGTCAAATTCTATTTTGGTATTTAGAACCAGAGAATGATAGGAGCTTTATTTTTAATTATGAATGTCTGAATGAATGTCTTTATTTTTTAGTATTTATATATGTGATATATTTAGATTTTATTCCGCTATACCACAACCCTTTTTAGTGTTATAGCCTTTTCGGGGTCGGCTGCGATCGGCCGCAATCTACATTTGATAACTATGTTAGGGAGACCTTTGACCTTCACCACACCTAGGTCAAAATTGCGAAAACATTGTATATATCTCCAAAAAAGAAAAAGAAGAATAACAACAAAATAGGCAATGACATAGCCAAATTAGGGGCATATAGAGTGAGTGGATGATTGTGTAAAGCCTCTTTTTAAGAAGAAAGAAAATATTGCAATGAAATATCCAAATAGGATGCATAGAGTGAGTGATTGCCGTAGTCCCTGTTTTAGAAAAATGAGAATAAGGCAATGAAATAATCAAATAGGGTGCATTTAATAGCACTCCTTTAGTTCCTTTTCATTTAACAATTTAAGTTTATTTGATTTTTTAATTTCTTTTATGAGAATTGATGAATGAAAATGCAAAAAGAAAAAATAACTAATGAATAATTGAATCGGGTGATTCATATTAGTGATACGGAATCGCATTGATTCATGCTTGTATCACATGATTTCAAAGCCATCTCTGCTTCATCACTTAATACAAAATACTGGCTTGCCAAATCGCCGCATTGATTCATGCTTGTATCACATGATTTCAAAGCCATCTCTGCTTCATCACTTAATACAAAATGCTGGCTTGCCAAATCGCATTGAATCGTGAATTGTGCTATTCTAACAACATCTATGTTCATTCTCCACCATACATTATTGTTTGTGTACTACAGCAACCATCACTGTCACCTGCGTACTTTGATAAAGCATTCCTTCTTTTGCTGTTTTAATTTTCTTTGTTGTTCTTCTCTTCCACAACTCTTGCTCCACTTGAATCCCCCCATCATGCATCAATCTCCAGCTCAACCATCCGCTGATCCTACTAATTGTTCCTTAGAAATTTGATATTCCACTCAATCTGCAATTCTATAGCAAAAAGGAAAAATTGAGGATTTAAAAGTTCAACCAAGCATATTTTAGTTTTTTAATATTATTATTTATTAATTTAAATTTGTTGTTTTTTATAAGTTTTGATCAATCATTTTAACAATAAAATTTCAATTTTATGCATCAATTCTATGGTGCAATCATGTAAGTGCTTTATTTGCCTGATTAATTGCCAAAAAGGTGATACAATGCATTTCTTTAAGATTAATAACATGTAATTTTTAATGCTTTAAATTTACCTGATATGCGTTAACCTTCTAACTTGAACAAATGAGATACTTTATAAATTGGTGCATGTAAAAACAGTGTTTTGGGATGACACAATATGTTCAATGTTTATCAGCTTCTTATTGTTGATTACAGGACGAGCAATTATTGTTATACCTGTGAAATAATTAAAGCTGAGGATAACACGACAAATGACTAAGTGTTATTTTTCTCGTGTTATCCATTTTACGTTTGTTGTTTTTCTCAGCAGTGTTGCAAAGCATTTGGAATCTGCCAATACAATGTTTTCATTTATTTGGTGGATTATTGGATTCTACTGGGTATCAGCTGGTGGTCAAGCTTCAGCCCAAGATTCTCCTCAGCTTTACTGGTTTGACCTCTCTTAGTCTCTCTTATTCAAATTGTTTATATATCCATTATCAGTGGCGGAGCCAGCAAGATTAATGAGCCAGGCCAAAAAAATTTAGCTGGTGCCAACCATTAAATTTTATCCCTTCAACTTAACTACGGTTATTTACCCACGTCCAAAACGTGTTTAATTTTTAAAAATTAGCCAGGGCCTGGAGCCAACGTGGCTCTGTCACTGTCCATTATTAACCATTTCATTTGTAATTTATTCTTCTTTTGGCAAATCTACCATTATTTACTTATTTTTGTTCAAAGCTTTTGACAGAATCTACATTCAATGCAGGCTATGTATAATCTTCCTGGGTTTTGATGTTTTCTTTGTCGTTTTCTGTGTTGCACTGGCGTGTATCATTGGTGTCGCTGTTTGCTGTTGTCTTCCATGTATCATTGCACTTCTTTATGCAGTTGCAGACCAGGCAAGTCATGTTCTTGGTCATTTCCTGCTCTTGTTTTTAGCTGTTATTGCTGTATGAATCTATGTGTCTTAGAAGTTCCAATTGGACGAACTATATTATGTGTAAAATTGGGTGGGAAGTTGCTAAGCATTAATGATCTTTGAAGTGATTTTGGATTTTAACCATTTCAACATGGGAAAAATTTTTGTCCTTTGAAAGGACAATAATTTTAGTTAAAACTAGTATTTTTTATTTAATATTTAAATTAAAAAAAAAAAAACTTTTGCTTTCTCTTACCTTGATTTCTGTTTCTCTCACCATAAAACACGGTAGTTTTGACTAAAATGTCACAATTCTATGGCCTTTTAAAAGGACAAATACTGATCCCTTTCAACGTATGTAATAATTTGTGAACAATTAATACCGTGATCTTTGTATTTTGTAAAACACATGAATGGACAGACTAGACAAGCGTTAAATCCGAATTTATTTGTTTCACTATGTTAGTAATTAGCTCAGCTGTACATAGTTGAATTGCACTACCACTGACTATTGAGCTAACACGCTGAACATGACTCATTATTACAGTATAACAGAAACATAAGGGATATTGTACACATATTTCCTTATATTAGGGTTCTCTCTCTAGGTCCTCTATTTTTCTGCGTGTGGGAAAATCTCAGATTGCTTATGAACTTGTATCCCTGAGATTGTTCAGGGTTGAAAGGGAGGCAAATTATAACACTAATATTAAATTTTATTGTAAAATGAGAGAGAGACAGGATCTAGAGAGAAAACCCAATTATTGTAAATTGAAGTCTTTTTCGCCTTATGCCTGTGTTATCTATATAAAAACCAGGTTGTGTACAGCTTATAAGAGTGTAGTACAAGTTTTCAACTTTAAACTAGAAAGAAAAATTACTTCAATAACCGTGACAGCCACTGTTTCAACGCTTATGATGAAAAATTATGACTTCATTCTATTATAGAGAGGAAAAATGGTTACAAGTTAAAATAATCTTTTGTGAAAAAATGATTATAATACTTTTCATTTTCCCCAACGTTAATATTGTTGATCTTGGCTTCTAGGCTCTGTGAGAAGGAGCAAACTTTGCCATATAACTTGATTTCCTACGACTTTGTAGTAGACTGAATATGTCAGTAATTATTGACATAGTAAATTGGGAGATATTTATTGTAATTTATTAATTGCACTCTTCCTTGATTTCATCTCTCTCTGTCTCTATATGGGTCAAAAATCAGGAAGGGGCACCAAAGGAAGACATTGAGCAGTTGTCAAAATTTAAATTCAGAATAGTTGAAAGTAGTGAGAAACTTACTGGTAATACACAAGAACCTGTTGGAGGAATAATGACCGAATGCCAGGCTGAGTCACCTATTGAACGTGTTCTTTCCGAGGAGGATGCGGTATGTTGTCAAGTTCTGTTATGCGTGGGTTTAACCTTTTCTCCCTTTTCCAGTGGTCTTGTTGTTCTGCTCTCTTTAGATATTATTTCACTGTATTTGGAACGGAAATCCGTGTCATGTTTCAAATAGTTAAATACAGACTTTTACATACTGATATTTTTTGTTATTGTCAATGTTTTGATATGTATGATACAGATTCACCTTCTGAACACATTCTTACACTGTAGGATGGAATTTGTATATATTTTGGTTGTATGTGTGCTTGGTCTTCCATTTCTTTTTCCGTATGGTGTCTTTTCAATATCACATTATACACGGAAGGAAATTGACATAATGGTTCAAGTACATGCTAGTTCATAGTAGTTAAAATCTCGATTTATCATAACGATTTTACCAATATTCTAAACGCTTTTATGATTTTTTACAATTTTTTTACATTACGATTTTACGTTTTACGATTTTTTATCCCCCTTCCAATTTTATGTAAAATCTCGATTTTAATTGCTAGACAATTTTCATATGATAACTCTGTGATTTGACAAAAATGTCTGCATCCTCAGTTATGCTGCAGATCTTAAGTTTTTCTTTTTTGGTGGTATACCATAGGAATGCTGCATCTGCCTTTCTTCTTATGAGGATGGGGTTGAACTAAGAGAACTTCCTTGTGGTCACCATTTTCACTGTGCCTGTGTGGATAAGTGGCTCTATATTAATGCTACATGCCCCCTCTGCAAGTATAACATCTCGAAAAGTAGCAACCTCAATCAAGAAGTGTAGAAGAGGTCAGGAAAATTTCTAGCAGCCATGTTGAGGAATATGCATACTTTTTGGTTCACAGTTTAATAGGCACATCATGTTGATATACTTTGATGTGGGCCTAAACAGCTGCTGCTGCTGTGTGCTGGTTATCTTATAGTGATAGCGGTTTTGATTATTCCTAGTTATTGTGACTTCCTAACTGGTTGTGTATATCAGGGTTGTTCAGTGCATATCGGCTGTAATTATCTTAGAGGCAATTTGGTTGAAATTTTTATTTTTACTTTTATTTTATCGTCATCATTATTATTGCGGTCCAAGAGACCTATAATGTCTCGTAAGACACTGTGGAAAGCTTTACTGTGTCTCAATATATGCTTTGAAATGTTCAGTCCAACTGCCTCCATATTCTTGTAATGTTGATGGTATTGATAGAATTTTCTTGAGCGTATAAATAATAAAGGACGGCCTGTCAGGCAGGCTGTGGACGTAGTGAAAATTGCTATTTGTAAAGATTTTTAAAACAATCCGAAGACATTATGGGGCTGTTTGATTCCTATTCTCAAAAATAGTTTTTAAGTTTTTAAATCAAAAAAGTAAAAAAAAAATTTGTTTGGAAATGATTGTTTTGCAAAGTCCTTTCCAAAACAATGATTCTTTTATAGTTTTAAAAACTAAAAAACCAAAACATGTTTCTCCAAAACTGTTTTATGATTTTTTTTGTTTAGGCGGTGACAATTTCGTAAATATCAGGATTCATTAATGACAATTTTGTAAATATTAGGACTCAAAACAATTACTTTAGGTGCATATTTGTAATTCTAAAATTTTATTAATGACATTTTTATAAATAATTACAACTTCTTTATAACTTTAATTTAGCTACACTCAAACAAATTTTTTATTTTTGTACTCTCAAAATCAGTTTTTAAAATTCACCTATATTTTTGGTAATGATATTATTATATGTGTGAACATTCCACTAGGTGCATCTGCTAGAAAGTTGCTAATTCACAAGAGGAGTATCTCATTCATGGAACAAACTAACACGCGAGCTGCAACCTTCAAACAAACGCCCATTTCACAGAACTGCTTTATAAAGTAAAAGCAAATGAATTATAAGTTCGATGCCAAAATGCCATTAACTTCAAATACACAATCCAAGACTTGTCAAAATACAAAGTAAATTCGATGCCATTAGTGTAGCTCAAGTCTTTCATATGGTTGGGCCGACCAAGAAGCGATGAAAGCACCCACGCAGCCACCTATTAGGGTTGGCAAAACGGGCCAACCTGATCCTGCCCAACCCAACTCGTATTCAATCCGAAAAAAACGAGTTGAGTTAGGATTGACTCGAAAACAAAAACGAGCGAGAAAACCCAACCCGACCCGAGTCGGGTTAGGGTTGGCTCAAAAATATGGTTTGTGGGTTGACTTGAAAAAAAAAATAGCTCAGAGGTTGGCTCGAAAACTGGCTCGTGGGTTGACTCGAAAATTGCTCGCGGGTTGGCTCATTTTCAGCCTATTTAAATGACCTTTAGTATTATTACACAGCTATGTGGCTTCCATCAGCTTAAATAAAGGGTTACAAAATGAGAAATAAAAGCAAAATATTTTAGTTTCAAATTTTTTTCACAACAAATTTGAATCAACATCAAGAAACAATCATAACCACTTTCTACCAAGTGGGTAAGATAATTGAACCAAACAGAGTCAGCACAACCTAACAATATAAAAATAGCATGAGAAGATTAGGGACTTAGGTTTAGATAAGCAAAAAAAAAAAAAAATGATGACATCATGTGTGAGTTTTGTCCATTTTTATATATTATATTTTGTATTTTTTTATTAAAAAAAAAATCTCAATTCGCGAGCTGGCTCGTTTGACCTGTGGGTTGGCTCGTTTTTTTAAGAGCTAGTTCGAGTCGAGTTGCTCGGGTTGGCAACTCATTTTTGCAAACCCAACCTGCTTATTTTTGACGGGTTATGAGCCAACCCGACAAATTGGCTCGTTTTTGCCAACCCTACCACCTATGCCTCACCAAACCTTGAACATTTGAGAATTGAGACTTTCTAGTTTCTATGGATCTGTCCATGGATCTCCACTGTTACTTCTTTTCCATTTTAATTTTATTGGGATTTTTTATTTAAGTAAATATTTTTCAAAAAATAATAAAAATGTTACTGGAAAGAAATAATTATGTATAAATTTATTTAGTTCTGCTAAGGGTTTTTGCTTCCTAATGCTTCTCTTGAGCGGATCTTTAATTTGATACTTTAGCCAAACATTGTTAAAATATAATTAGGAATAAGATATTGTAACAATCAAGTAGTGTTACTACCAACGTTACTATCAATCAATTTCATTGTTAGATCGATTATGTTGACCCAACGATTATATTTATTTTCATCTTTGTATAGTTATGATTTCCTATATTTAATACTTTATATTTATTTTTACCTTTGTATGGTTATGATTTCTCATATTTAAAGTGAAAATGCTTTTACTTTAAATATGGAGAATTATAACCATACAAAGATGGAAATAAATATAATCATTAGATCCACATAATCGATCTAATAGTTAAATTGATTGGTAGTAACATTGATAATAACATTACTTGTTTGTTACAATATCTTTTCCCATATATCTATATAAGATATTGTCGGATAAATTGTGACTTGTGGAAGCCTTGAAGGAATTAGTCAGTTTCTTTTGGGTTGTGAATAACTTGTTGAGACGTTTGGAGGAAAACGAAGGATTTTTTCCCTCTCTCTATTTTAATGTCGTCAACCACCTAGTTCAAACGAAGTGTCTACGCAGCTTTTACGACGCATTTCTTCGTATTCTTCTTAATAAAATATTAATTAAAAAATAAAAAAAATTGTCCTTTAAAATGACATAAAATTATGTTATTTTAAATGAGATAAAAACGGAAACTAATATTTTTTTATTTAAAATTTAAATTAAAAAAAGAAATAGCCATTTTTTTCTCTATGATTTTTATTGCTTGGATCTTTCTCTCACTTAAAATGACACAACTCTATATTCTTTAAAGGACAAACATCAAATCAAATAAAAATTGTTTATAAAAGTTTAAAACAATTGAAACAGTGACCAATGTGCCACGTTTTTTACATTAATATATCAAACTGTCACGCGAACAGTAAAATTTATCAGACTGCCACGCGTTGAAGTTCGTTACGACTGGTAGCGAATTTTATAGCCAATGATTCCGTTACACATGACACACTTTCACATGAAAAGCTGATTGTCATGTGTCCAAAGTAGCTATGATTGATAGCGAACTTGGTAACCAATGATTTTGTGACACGTGACACACTTTCACAAAAAAAGCTGACTAGACAAAGTTCGCTACCAGGGGTAGCAAACTTGGTCGCTATGTGACATAATCTCGTCGCCCGATCAAAATTAATGTACCAATCAATATAAAAAACAGAAAATAAAGAAAAATGGCTATTTAATTAATGTACCAATCACCAATCACAATTAATATAACAATCACCAATCACAATTAGCATACCAAAGTGATTAACTTTTGGTTGTACCAATCACAATTAATGTACCAATCACCAATCACTTCAGAGGGCATATGGTTTTTTTAGATATTGAAGCCCAGAAAATTTGGAAAGGAAAACTAACTTTCATTGTTCAGAAAAACTGAATTCACTAAGTACAATGTATCCTTTGTGGGAATATATCAGCAACCTAAAAAACAGAATGCAGCTAGATCCGTAAAAAGTGTTAAACGGTTACATCCACTGATGAGGTGGCAAAAATCCAAATACAATAAAGAAAACAAAATAACAGAATGAAATATATTCTAAGACTCCCCCTCAATATGGAGAGTGTATGTTGAGGACTCCCATCTTGGAAAGAATAGAGAAGAAGAGACTAGGAGGAAGAGCTTTGGTGAGGATGTCAGCAAGTTGTTGTGAAGAAGAAACAGCAAAAGTCTGAAGAGTGCCTTTAGTAACTTGATCACGGACGACGTGGCAATCAATTTCAATGTGCTTGGTACGTTCATGAAATACGAGATTAGCCGCAATGTGAAGAGTAGCTTGATTGTCACAAAACAAGTGTGCAGGTGATGTATGAGTAACACGCAGGTCCTTGAGTAAAGAGAACAGCCAAAGAATTTCACAAGTAACATTGGCCATAGACCTGTATTCAGCTTCAGCAGAAGAACGGGAGACAGTTCCTTGTTTCTTGGACTTCCAAGAGATGAGTGAGTCACCAATGAAGATGCAGTAGCCAGTAACAGATCGACGACTATCTGGGCATGCAGCCCAGTCAGAATCAGAGAAAGTATTAAGTTGTATAGTACAAGTGGCAGAGAAAAAGAGACCCTGGCCAACAGTGCGTTTGATATATGCTAGAACACGGTGGGCAGCTTGCATGTGAGGGACCCGAGGTGCAGACATGAACTGACTGAGTCTGTTAATTGCAAAAGAAAGGTCAGGTCTTGTAATTGTTAAGTAGAGGAGCTTCCCAATGAGACTTCTATAAGGAGTAGGATCAGGGAGAAGATCCCCTAAGTCAGTAGACATGCGCAGATTTGCTTCCATTGGAGTGGACTGAGGCTTGCAACCAAGGAAACCACAGTCTTGCAGAATGGTCAGAGCATACTGACGTTGTGTCAAAAAAATTCCACGGTGTGATCTAGCTACCTCAAGACCCAAAAAATACTTGAGAGCTCCAAGATTTTTCAATTTAAATATGCCATTCAACGAAGAAGCAAGAGTATGCACCTCAACAGAGTTATTAGAAGCAAGTATTATATCATCCACATAAACCAGCACAACAATGAAATAAGTGTCAGTGAAATAAGTAAACAAAGAATGATGAGAGGATGACTGAATAAATCCAAGAGAGATTAAGGTGCTGGAAAATTTTGCAAACCATTGACGAGATGCTTGCTTGAGTTCGTAAAGAGATTTTTGAAGACGGCAAACTGCACGTTGAGGAAGGGACTCCCCCTTTCCAAAATAACCCGAAGGCAGAGACATGTATACCTCTTCAATAAGGTCTCCATGCAAAAAAATATTGTTAACGTCAAGTTGAATCGAATGCCAATTATTAATGGCAGCAAGGGAAAGCAAAACACGAACAGTTGTAATTTTTGCTACAGGAGAAAAGGTCTCCAAAAAATCAACACCTTCCTGTTGAGAAAAACCCTTAGCAACCAAACGAGCTTTGTATCTTTCAAGGCTGCCATCAGAGTTGTATTTTACCTTATAAACCCATTTACAGCCAATGGGACGTTTACCAGGGGGTAGGGAGACTATCTTCCAAGTGTTGTTGTGCTCCAAAGCTGAAATTTCTGCATCCATGGCTGCACACCAATCGGGAAGTTGGGATGCTTCAGAGAAAGTTGAGGGTTCAAAGTGGGACGAGAGGGGATTAATAAAGGCAGTATGTGATGGGGATAAATTGCTATAGGATAAGAAATTAGAGAATGGATGAGCAGTGGAGGTACAAATATAATCAAGTAGATGAGGTGGGGGTTTTTTGGTGCGGGATGGATTGGAAGAGGAAGGCTGTAAAGTTTCAGTGGTATGTGGTGAAGGGGTAGATGGAATAGGAGCGTGAAAAGAAGAACCAGAGGCAAAAGGAAAAATAGATTCGTGAAAAACAACATCTCTGGACACAAAGACTCGATTAGTAGAGAGATCAAGCAGTTTGTAACCCTTGTATCCTGGGGGGTAACCTAGGAAGACGGCTGGAAGGGCTCGGGGAGAAAACTTATGACGACCACGATGAAGAGTGGACGGATAACACAAACAACCAAAAATTCTGAGATGTGAGTAGGAAGGAATCTTACGAGACAAAAGTTCAAAAGGTGTTTTGTGGGAGAGGAGTGGAGATGGGGTTCGGTTTATGATGTAAACAACTGTGTGAACACAATCATGCCAGTAATTTAAAGGAACTTGAGACTGGAAATGAAGGGCTCTGGCAACGTTCAAAATATGCTGGTGTTTTCTTTCAACAACAGAATTTTGTTGGGGTCTTTCGACACAAGAATGAAAAAGTTGAATGCCTCTAGAATGAAAAAAATCAGTGAGGCAAAATTCAGGAGCGTTGTCACAGCGAATTGCCTTAATAGACTTGTTGTATTGATTGTAAACCAAGGCAAAAAATTGAGGAAAAATAGTGGAAAAATCATTTTTATTTTTAAGAAAATAAACCCAGGTGAAACGAGTAGCATCATCAACCAAAATCAGAAAGTAACGAAAACCAACTATAGAAACAGGGGTAAAAGGGCCCCAAATGTCACAGTGTAGCAAATCAAAAGCAGAAGAAGAAAGTTTGGGATCCAAAATAAAAGGTAATCGTTTTTGTTTTGCCAGTGGACAGATATTACAATGAAAAGTGGGACATGCAGTGTCTGTAAAATGTAAAGTGTCTCTCAAACGATGTAAAACATTCGAAGAAAGATGGCCTAACTGCCATAAATGAAAAGAGTGCAAGGAAACATTGAAGCAAAGGGGATGGGGGACATTAACTTTGGGAAAAGGAGAAGCCGTATCCAAAATATAAAGATCTCCAAGCCGATTAGCAATCCCAATCGTCCTGCGTGAGGCACTGTCTTGTAAAGAACAATGAGAAGAAAAGAAATGAGAGGTGATGGACGAATCACGAGTAAGGGCACTAACAGACAACAGGTTAAAAGAAAAAGACGGAACAAGCAAAACATTTTGCAAAATAACAGACGAAAAAAGAGAAACAGAGCCTGTAGACGCAACAGAAACAGAAGATCCAGTAGGAAGGGAAATAGTGGAACTAAAATCAGAAGAAGAGAATTTAAAAAATAGAGGAGAGAAAACAACGTGATGAGTTGCTCCAGTGTCTATTACCCAAGAGGAGGGAGATAAAGAAGATGGCATACCACTGAAACTGGCGACGGTTGGAGAGGATGAATCTGTCGGTGGTGAGGTGGAGGCTGTCGGTGGGGAAAGAGGGCCAGGGTTGGATTGAAGAAGGTGGAGTAATTTGGAGTATTGGTCCGAAGTCAGTTGGGAAAAATAGGGCCTGAGTCATTGGGCCTATGGTTCGGGTGAGGGGAATTAAAGGTCATATGGGCTTGGGCCGAGGGTGAAGGAAAATTGGGTCTAGGGGATTTAGGCTTGTAACCCGGAGGAAAACCGTGAATCTTGAAGCATTTATCCTTGTTGTGTCCATGAATGTTGCAGTGGGTGCAGAAAGGGCGATTACGGCGAGGATTATTCATAGCAGCAGCCATAGGAGAAGAAATAGCAGGAGAAGAGCCAAGAACACCGGAAGCAGCAACGAAATTGAGCAGGGGCATCTCAGTCATGACAGGGAGTGTGGTTGAAATCTGCCTCTGACCTTCCTCTTGCAAAACAAGAGAGAAAACTCGTGGGAGACTTGGTAGCGGCTCCATAAGCAGAATCTGAGCATGGATCGAAGAAAAAGACTCATTAAGCCCCATGAGGAATTGAAGAGCATGGTCCTGCTGTTGAGAAGCATGGAGTAAGCGAAGGCCACCACAGGTGCATTGAAGCGTAGGAGAAAAATCCTGGAGTTCATCCCATAGGATTTTGAGCTTCGTGTAGTAACTATTAACATCCAAGGCACCTAGATGAAGCGATGAGATCTGTTGTTTCAGCTGAAAGATGCGTGGACCATTCGCTTGATGAAAGCGAGCACGAAGGTCAGACCAGAGATCATAAGCAGTAGTGAAATAGATAAGGCTGTCCGCAATCTCCTTGGAAATGGAATTAAGAAGCCAGGAGGTAACCATGGAATTGCATCTATTCCAGGAAGGAAAAAGAAGATCATCGGAAGAAGGGCGAAGAAGAGAGCCATCAACGAAGAAAACTTTGTTCTTTGCAGTCAGTGCTAAAAGCATGGCCCTGCACCAAGAATTAAAATTCGTCCCAAGAAGAGTATGGGGAACAAGGATGAGGCCGGATGATCACCATTATGAAGATGGTAGGGGCTAGAGACATCCTCCATAGAAGTAGAGGATGGAATAGGAGTAGAGGCAGAAGCAGCAGCTGAAGAGTTGGAAGTAGATTTTGTACCTCGAGCCATAGGTGAGGTTTAGAAAATATCATCTGATACCATTTTAGATATTGAAGCCCTGAAAATTTGGAAAGGGAAACTAACTTTCATTGTTCAGAAAAACTGAATTCACTAAGTACAATGTATCCTTTGTGGGAATATATCAGCAACCTAAAAAAAAGAATGCAGCTATATCCGTAAAAAATGCTAAACGGTTACATCCACTGATGAGGTGGCAAAAATCCAAATACAATGAAGAAAACAAAATAACAGAATGAAATATATTCTAAGAGGTTTAATTTTTTTTCTCTCTTCTATACACATATCACATTTTCTTTCTCCAATTTTATTTGACTTGTATCACTGAATAAATGATGGTCTAGCACCTTAATAATTTCGGTGCTTAAGAGACTCGAACTCTTTTATACTCCTATTCAAATCTAACTATCCTTATTCTTATCCTATTTTTTCCAAACCAAAGGAGTCCTAATAGCTTTTACTTCGTAAACAATACTCTATAAGATATTCTCAGCATCACGCCACCTAACTTAATCAAATTTAATTATTCATTTTTAATTAAAACCAATCAAATCAAATTTACCATCCTTCTTAGGAACAAAGGTTGGAAAGTCAGTTGTAACTAGGCCTAGTCATATATATACCAAAAATAGGATGGAGACCTGTTTAAAGTCTGAACTCAAAATTTGGTAAATTTTCCAACTTCCTAATTACGTTGGAACTGGGAAAGTGTGCTCCAATGCCTAACTGGTCCCCTCTCCATACCATAAACCCATTGGTTTCCAGCATAGCTTTGTTCGTGTCCTACATTTTCCATTATTTCGGCGCCTACACTCCTCTCCTCTCCTAAGTTTTATTTATATGGTTTTTATTTTTATCAGAAAAATATTTCTGCAGTTAATCCAGATAAGTTATCTATATTTATTTTCAAAACGACGTCATTTTGGTATTGAAGTCTTAAAAAATTATAAATATAAAGAATATTATAACCTGGAATAAATTAAAATTACAAAAACACCGTAATTTCTGTCCAAAACAACGTCGTATTAAGCTTACTCAGATAATTTATCTGCAGTAACTGCACAAAAAGCAAATCCTTTTATCATTTAACTATAATTTTTTTTCGAAATTTCTATTAAGTTGTCTCAGTTAAACATCATTTTCCTATTCTTATATGCATAAATGTGATGTATTAGTCTAGTTTTGTCATTATCGTGGGAATTACGCACCAGTAAAATTAAAAATTACGCCCTATCCTGAACATAAGTGGAAATTCTGTTCATGTGCTCTTCTAAAACTAGAATGTGCTGAAGTATAACAAAAAATTTAGTTGGAATTAAATTCTAAATCAAATAATTTCTTAAAAGACTTCATATCATTTGAGTTATAGTTATTATTAGATGAAACACAAGTTCTGTAATCAAATATTACATTATCTTTCCTTTCAGTTGGAATCTCGCATTCATTGAATATAGGAATGTTCTTATCATAATACGCAGCCTATAGAGATGAAACCAAGAAAAGAAAATATAACTCTTTATTTTTCACAAAACACAAAATAGAACTTTCTCAAAAAAAAAAAAAAAAGTTGATAATTGCGCAAACGGATTAAGTTGCCAAGACCAAAGGGCAAAGACACAGAGTTACTTCTTTTTGTGAGGGTGGTCCCACCTATGAGATTAGATAAACATCCACCTCCAAAATTCTAATCCACACTGCAAAGTCCAAACTGTGATCCATTTTTTTCATTAATTATTTATAATTCTTTCTCCACCTTCCAGTGACCACGGCGCGTGGTGCGTGTGGAACTGTTGCAATCACCGTAGCCAATTCCCCTAGCAGCTGTCACGGGTATCCCAATAACAGTGTCCACCAGAGATGGTGACGTGAGCCACGGAACAGAGGAACATGAGCCCTGCAATCTGACGGAGAGGTTGATGATGACGTGGCTCCTGGAACCGTCTCTAGTCCGTAGCCGGTAACTGAGGTAGCGTACGGAATCATGGGGGAGGAGGCCAATGTCTGTGACCGGAATCAGACACCAGCCCAGTTGTGTGGGACCCACAATCCGGCGCTTGTTGTATAGCTGAAGATGTAGGCACGAATGTCTGTCGGAAAAGAAGGTGGGATCCACTGGGACGCGGAACATGTGCTCCCGTGTTCCTCCTCCCCCATCGTGCTGGCACACCGCGTGGTTGGGGAGCTTGACGAGAGTGATGAAATAGGAGGAGGAGGAGGAGTATTTGTCGAGGCCTTCAGCGGAGACAACGACGATCTCCAACGTTGTCGTCATGGTTGCACGATCATCATCACTCATGACGACTCGCAGCCACAGAGAGTAAGGATACACTGAAACAGGGAGTAGAGTTAGTTATGATGATGGGTGGGGTTGGTTCATAAGGGATGTGTGTTAGTGTTATTGAGTAGTGACAGTGAAATTTCGTGGGTGCTGCGTGCTAGTAATGGAATATAAACCGGTATGGGAACCTCACTCTCAAATGATTGTCTCATGGAAGTTTTGATTTCCCGCTTTGAGAGTCAACTTGGTGCTGACGTGGCACATTGCCAGCAAGGAAGCACCAATGTTTTTGTTCAACTTGTACTTATATGTTTTGTAATGAATACTTTTAGATGTTTACATTCTTTTAAATTTTGTATCAATATAAGTAAATCATTAGGGAAAAATAAATCTTATGTTGTAAAAAAATGCTAATTTCATATCATAGCTACATTAAGTGTGAGATCTATCTATTTAAAAAAATAAAAAATGAAAAAAAGAGTGACACGTCTTTTTATGGTATGTGTAGGAACGATTTATTTTCTTATACAATATGAGAAAACTAAACTCTAAATTATTGTAGGGCAATTCTAGAAAACATTGTCTCGTATAAAGACTCTGTCAAAATTTAAGTCAAGTGAGACCCACTTAATTATGTCTCTACATGAAATAATATTTTCTCCACTACTATGGAAAAAATATTTCCTATAATGTTTATATTATAGAGTTTAATGTTTCTATAATGAATGTAAATAAGTTATTTGTATTCTATCCTCACCAATATCACATTTGGGATATGTTTAAAGTTTTAATCTTGAACCCGTCTTTAATCGCACAAATTGCAAAGCGAAGAACCGATAGAATATTTCAAAAAATTAAAGTAAGTTATCTCTCTTTACTTCCAAAACGATGTTTTTATCAATATTATAATAATAAAAGCACCTTGATTAAAATATTATAATAATAGTTTTTTCATGAATGATTAAAATTATATTAATAAAAAAGAACCTTGGGATACACCACCCCAAAAGCTAGCTCAAAGGGTGAGAGTGCCCAAAGCCTTATAAACTCCACATTTGTTGCTTATACAACCAATGTAGGACTATATATCTCAACACGCCCCCTCACGTAAGAGCCCATTTGGGCTAGAAGCGTGGAATTGCACAGGCCCAATTTTTGGGAGGCCGTGAGGATTTAACTCAAACTCTGATACCATGTAAAGAACATTGGGATACACCACCCGAAAAGCTAGCTCAAAGGGTGTGAGTTCCCAAAGCCTTATAAACTCCACATTAGTTGCTCGTACAATCAATGTGGGACTATATATCTCAACACGCCCCCTCACACAAGAGCCCATTGGGCTTGAAGAGTTGAAGATGCAACAGGCCCATCCTACCTGTGCTAAGAAAGTCCATAAGAGAAAGTGTGGGGCGGCGAGGCTCTGATACCATGTAAAGAACCTTGGGATACACCACCCCAAAAGCTAGCTCAAAGGGTGGGAGTGTCCAACGCCTTATAAACTCCACATTTGTTGCTCATACAACTAATGTGGGACTATATATCTCAACAAATTTCAACAAATTAAAATTATAATAATATTATAATAACACCTTGGGAGTTGGGAGTGAATGATTAAAATATTATAATAATAAAGACTATTATAATCCTTATAATAAATTGAAATTATAAAAATATTTTGACTTTCGTCCAAAAACGATATTTTTTGGACTCAATGCAAATAATATATCTACATTTACTGCAGTAAAAATGAACCCGTATTTATAATAGTTATAATTGTCTTATGAAATATTTATATTTATATTTTTATTTATCTTCATTTATATTTTACAACTCCTAAAATTTATCATATGAAAATATTAATATTATACCCCATAAGTGTCTCATTTGAGTCATTTCTATATGCGTGTTTCTTATTTTCCAAGTGATGACCTGACATTTGTACTCGGTTTATTTTTAATTTCTCTTTTCTAAAAGTCGGGTTCGAACACCTTATTTTTGTAAGAGTTCTTAAGAAAAATAGCTTTTGTTATGAACTAAAAAAAAAGAGGTCAGAAGTTGTTTGGAGGAGCTAAATGCTCCTTCTCTATTTTTTTTTCTCAATCACAATTTTTTTTTTTTGGACATACGTTTTGTGAGAAATCCTTTTTTCATTTTATAGGCTAATCTTTGACTTTGTTCATTGCCCCCTCTTGCTACGGAAATGATCATAGTTTTAGGGATAACCTTTTTGCTTCAATAATATTTTTCAACATCTTGCTCTTACAAACTTCTCTAATATTCATAATTGTTGTAAATGATAGTTTAGAATAGTAGTATAGAAGTCCCACATCATGTATATCTCTTTATATTTACTTTCTTTTAAGTTATATAATAGACTCTTCGCTGTGTAGTTGAGTTGAGACACACAGATTACTTATAAATCTCTTTGTTCTTGATATTCAACATGGTGTCTAGAGCCTAACAAGATCTGTATCTTTCTGGTAGACCCATTGTCTACCGAGTAAAAAATCTTCCTGCAAATTGTTACTGTCGTCAGTTTCCGGCCACCGTCTGCCACCACCGTCCTCCACCGGAAAAGTTTTCCGACGACCGTTCTGATCAAAAAGTACATCAACAGACTCAAAAGAAGCTGATCTACCCAACACCGCAAGACCCACCGTCATTAGAGGTTGCCAGCACCGTGAACCACCGTTTGACCGCTGTTGACCGCCACCACCGATCACTTTTTCGGCACTTTTTTTGGCGAGCCACCCACAATTGTGATCGTCGCAAGAAGGCGGTTCTTTCCATCCAAGGCCGCTCCCAAATTCCCACTGACGCACCCTCACGTGTGTGAAACATACGCGCGACTTCCACCATCAGGATCACCCTCTTCTTCCTTGTTCAGATCGATCCTTACCTTGTGGTTTTGAGTTCGTTGCGGCCCTTCCGAAGCATTTCTCCTCTTTCCATTACTATTCAAGACATCTTTGTTTCAGCGAATTGTTCTTGATCCATGTCTGATTCTAGCTCATTTTTCCTTCCTCAAGATATTTCTCAGCTCACGATCCCTGGTTCCACTGCTACTGTTGTGCATACAGGTAATAGCGTTGCTGGTTTCACTCAAAGTTCATCATTTGGTCATTGGGTTCTTGATTCTGGTGCCTTTGATCATATTTCTGGTAATAAATCTTTGTTTTTCTTTCTTTCTACCTCTGGTTATTTGCCTGCTGTCACTATGGCTAATGGTTCCCAGGTTCAGTCTCATGGGATTGGAACAATACATCTCTTTCCGTCCATTACTATTGATAATGTGCTCTATGTCCCTGGTTCACCCTTTAATCTCCCTTCCATTAGCCGTTTAATACGTTCTCTTGAATGTCTCATTTCTTTTACCCAAAATTCTGTTGTTTTACAGATTGAAATTCGGGGAGGACAATTGGCGTCAGATTTGAGTCTAATGGCCTTTACTTGCTCTCCAACTTCTCTCATGCTCATTCTGTATTAGATTCTCCACTCACTATTCATGCTTAGTTGGGTCATCCTATTCTTACAAAGCTTCAGAAGATGGTGCCACGTTTGTCCAAGTTGTCCACTTTGCAATGTGAATCATGTCAATTCGGAAAACATACTCGCAGTTCTTTTCCTGATAGAGTCAATCGTCGTGCCTCCTCCCCTTTTAGTTTGGTTCACTCTGATGTTTGGGGACCCAGTCGTACTGAATCAACCCAAGGTTATAGATATTTTGTTACCTTTATTGACGATTATTTTCGAAACACTTGGTTATTTTTACTGAAAAACCGCTTTGAGTTGTTCTCCATATTTCAGAAGTTTTATCATGAAATTCTTACTCAATTTGGTATTCCTATCCGCACTTTTCGTAGTGATAATGCTCGTGAGTATCTGTCTCAACCATTTCAATCATTCATGGCTTCTCACGACATTCTTCACCTTACATCATGTGCTCACACCCCAACAAAATAGGGTTGCTGAAAGAAAAATCGCCATCTTATTGAAACAGCTCGGACACTCGTAATTCATGGGAATGTTCCTACCAGTTTTTGGGGTGATGCTGTTTTCACCGCATGCTATCTCATTAATCACATACCTTCCTCTGTCCTAGGTAACCAGGTATCGTACTCTATCTTGTTTTCGCATCAGCCTTTACATTCCTTACCACTTCGTATTTTTGGTTCTACTTGTTTTGTCCATGAACTCGGTCCCAATCGTGACAAGTTGTCTGCCAAATCCCACAAATGTGTGTTCCTCGGTTACACTCGGACACAAAAAGGTTATTGGTGTTACTCTCCGAGTCTCTGTCGCTCTTTTGTCTCGACGGATGTTACTTTCTTTAAGTCTGTTCCATTTTTTGGCTCCACCTCTGTTCCCGAAGACTCTGTTGATACTCAGTTACCTTTACCCTCTGTTCCAATTCAATATGTTCCGGCACAAGATTCCACACCACCACCGCCTATTGTCACTTCTCCATATGTCCCAGCACCAGATTCTCCTCTCCAAGTTTATCACCGTCGATCACATCCACCCATACCCCAAGACATTGATGAGGTTCCTATGGACTCAGATCTGCCATCATCAACTCCTGCGGCTTCGGTCCCGCCCTCCGACATTGACTACCCATTGCTCTCCGAAAAGGTACTCATAATATTCGTCCCCCACCCAAGTATTTAGTAAATATGAGTTATCATCGCCTTTCTCCATCACATTTTGCTTGCCTTTCTTCTTTGTCTTCTGTATCTGTTCCTAAGACTTAGGTGAGGCATTACCCATCCCGGATGGCGACATGCTATGATTGACGAGATGTGTGCACTTCATGGCAGTAGTACTTGGGATCTGGTTCCTCTTCCCTCTGAAAAATCTGTTGTTGGATGTAGATAGATATTTACTGTCAAGGTTGGTCCTGATGGACACATGGATCGTCTCAAAGCACGTTTGGTGGCTAAGGGATACACTCAGGTGTTTGGTGAAGATTATGGGGATACATTTTTCCCTGTTGCAAAATTGGCATCTGTTCGCCTCTTTATTACTATGGTTGTTATCCCTCACTAGCCCATTTATCAATTGGATGTCAAAAATGCTTTCCTTAATGGCGATCTTGCTGAAGAAGTTTATATGGAGTAACCTCTTGGATTTGTTGCTCAGGGGGAGTCCAGTCTAGTTTGTCGACTCTGAAAATCTTTGTATGGTCTCAAACAGTCTCCACGAGCTTGGTTTGAGAGGTTAAGC